CCCAACGGATACCCGACGAACCGCGGACCTCCGCCCAGGGAACGCCCAGAACGTCGCGACAAGGATCCCTTAGACATCTTTGCCGACCCCCCGAAGACGAGCAGTGGCGGACGATCGGGCTACAGAGAGCGGAGGCCTCGTCGCAACTCAGAGTCTTCGATCATGGAACGAACCCCCAAGCTTGTGGATACCGAGGACGAGAGACGCCGTCGTGAGCGACGACGCCGGGAGCGGGAGGCTCGCCACAGAGATGGAAAGGACGGCAAGGAGTCGAAGGATGGAAAGCCTCGTTCTTCCAAAAAGTCCAACTACCACATGGACATTATCGATAAACTGGACGTCACCAGTATCTATGGCACTGGAAGTGAGTTGGAGCCCATTGCGACCTGGCAGAGGCGCTTGCTAACAGTCGTTGTGTAGTGTTCCATCACGATGGGCCGTTCGATGCCTGCAATCCTAACCGTAATCGCAAGGGCTTGCGCACTGCGCCCATGCAGGCGTTCCCCAAGGACTCTGCCAATATGGCCCTTGGAGGCGCAGGGCCAAACAATGCCAACATTGATCTGAACCTGTTCCATGGAACCATGGATGAAGGCTACAATGACTATTCTACCAGCGCCGCCGTTGACCCCCGTAACAACAAAAGCGAGACCGCGAACTTTGATCCCACCACTCGCATCGAACCTGTTCATGGAGCGGAGAGCATGGGTCTGGGTACTAGCACTTTCCTGGATGGTGCCCCCGCTAGCCGGGCAGACATTCAGCGCCGTGGAAGCGGGAACGAGAACGGTGGAGCTGGTCCCAGCGGAGGAGGCTTGCAGCGCAAGAAGAGTTTGGCCCAAAGACTCCGGGGCATGAACAAGCCCTCGAATCCCCGAGTGGTCTCTCCCGAGTCCTCCTACACCCCAGGTGTGCCGACTGGCTCTAGTCACATAGGAACCATCCGCGCCAATGAGAAGAACCCCTTCTTCCAGGATTATGACGATGCTTGGGACAAGAAGGGGGCCCAAATTAACATGTCCGAGGAATCACGTGGCACCACAGGTACACGAGCCCGCTCTTCCAGCAGCCCCAAGCAGAATACCGGTTTGGAGCGGAGGTTCACCAACGAACGTTCCAACACTGGCTTCGATGAGGGCAAGCCCAGCGGTGGTGGCGGCGGGTTCATCAACCGCATGAAGAGTTTGAGAAAGCCCCGGCCTGAGCGGCGCATCAGCAACGACTGAGTAATTTGAGTGATCTGAATCAACGGTCGTACTTAAACTCCGTTGCTTGTGTTTGGCGCAGATGACGAGGGAAGTGTGAAGAGATGGGAACCGCTCTGGAAGCATCCCTCTTGCACTCCCTTTAGCGTCTATCTCCTATAGAAGATAGGCAAAATGAGGCATATGATGAGATAAAGCATCGTGAATCGCAGGCTGGCGTAAACGACATATGATAATTCTATCGTCTGCAGCGTTACCTTGGGATTTCCGACGCATTGCTCAAGGCTCATGAAGAGCGACTGTTTAAGCGCGCTCTAAAGCGGCGTACTCGACTCCAATGCAATTGGGTTGGCGAGGCGGTGACAGGGGTGGTTGGTGTTTCTTTTACTGGTAAACCACACGGTGTACGGGACGCGAAGGGACAAGGCGTTGAGTGAGCATTTACTCTTGTAAGCATGGGAATTCGGACCTGTGTTGGGATCGGCTGGGCTTTGCTGTTTCGTGCTTCTCTTGTTTGCTACTAGGGCTGTTTGAAGGCAATGTGTCTTTCAGCTGAATACATATCTTACCATGCTTGTACTGGTCGGCCCTCTTGGGTCTATATATCACTGTAGCCATGAAGTTCATCCACACATCGGCCAGGTCGATCGTAGCACCCATGTAGAGCCATACAAAAGACACCTTTCTCAGATTCAGATTATTACAACGTCATCACCCGAGATTCTCTGGAAGCTGGGATGAAAGATAGACTAAATAAACATCAAAATAAATAAATAATATCACCGGCAAGTTGTCTTTTTGTTTGACAGATAGATGTAATGACGGAAAATAAACTTTCAAGTTTATTGTAATGGTATGTATAGTAATGATGATGAGTACAGTTCTAGAAGACCTTTTTGGAAAATACTACTACTACTACTACTACTACTACTACTACTACTACTACTACTCATATACTAGGGTCTAATACACGAACGATTTCACAACTTATGATTCCAGTACCTACCTACGAAGTAGTATAATAACAATGGCCTGAGATATGTTGATCTGTGAAGAAAAAAGAAAAAAAGTATCTATCTATCTATCTGCTGTATGAGACTAATTTACATTCGTGGTGGCTGAGTCGGCTGGGAATTAAACACGGTAGTCATGGTAGGTTGGGGAGAAGGTATTAGACGTACAGGGAGATGGGCTCGAAGATGCCGTAGATTAGGTAGGGGATTGGGGGGAGTATGCTGGTTGGCATTGTGTTGGAGATGGGGTTGTATGTTGTATGGACGGGGAGAGGTGAGAGTAGAGTTACTAAGTATGTGGAGTACGGAGGAGATGGATAGCTGATTACTGCTTTGGGCATAGTGGGGATGATATAGGATGATTGGTTCTATGGGATGGAGTTTGTTGGTTGATGGGGTTGCAGTTGATATTGAACTTATTGAACAATACTCTATAGTAGGTGTGTACACCGCTATATTCTGGATTGCTGTATTTGGATTGCTGTATTTGGATATTTCGCATTCTGATAACTACTTATACCCTATGAAGAGAAGTCGAATTTGGTAATTGCTTCGATGACTGGAATACTTGGTATGTGATCCATTGGGATAGTGCATGTTACTCTGTGTCCACTGTTCATCTCAACCATTGCTTTTAACAAACACTTATAATTATCAAATATGTACCACGGTCTATACAGCAAATTGTTAGCTATGCAAGTACTTACCTACGTTGTTAAATAGTCAACAGTAACTACTCCTCCAGAAAGAGTCGACTCTCTGCTGACTCATCAGCCGCCCACCTGGAATCAAGTCTGATCAATTCATCCTCCATCTGCATCTCTGCTCCCCCCAACTATCATCATCCGTGAGAATGGCTGTGGCATCTCCCTCCTCCTTCTACATGGTGCTCTTCATCCCTCAGTGATCATCCCCTGAATGGGTGTATGGGTGCCCCACCATGGATTCCAACGGCTCCTATACCCGCTCCTTCGACGAATCCTTGATTCGCGAATTACCCCAGCTTCAGTCTCTCCGCATTGCTCCCCTCCGTCAGCCGGTGTCTCGCCTCTTGGCTGTGCCCTCCCCGCTCGAACCCAATGCCAGTCACGTCCGGGAACCTTCCAGTAACAACAATTCCGGCATCCTCCCTGCCCGCAATGACTCGGCCCAATCTGGAGCCTCCGAAGGGGCGGCTGCTCCCCGACCGCAGAAGTCGGATGCCCCTGCGGAGTCCCTCCCCAGCCTGGAAGCGCCTCCCCGGCCAATTCTCCCGGCTTTTGTCAATCTCCGCGCTCTAGAACGATACCCCTACTCCTCGTTTGATGATGACACCCTTCACTTCCGCAAGCGCAGGCGTTTGGGCGGTCAGGCGGAGACGTTTAGTGAACACCTGCAGTTGCCTATTCCTCAGGCACAAAAGGAGCAGCGTCCGCCGCCCTTCGGCCCTTTTGCTATTCTCAATGGTCTCAACGAGCCGCCTCCGAATGCGGCCTTGCTTCCTCCAATTGAACCCGGCTCGATCACACAGCTACTGACCAAACCGTCCCGAGGCAGCGAGGCTGTGGAGCCGGGCTTACTCACTGCTAATGCTGCAGATAGCCAGATTGCGGAGCGACGAGAAGGTCGCATCGAGGAGATTCTTGATTCTCCGGTCGACAAAACGGCCGACGGCGATGCGAGCGATCTCGCCAGCGGACTGCTGGACGATGTTGCTACAGCGGAACGGACACGAACTGAAAAGACAGACACCGAGACTGACAATAAAGATGCCTCCGTGGAGGACAATACCGAGCCGCTGTCGCCTAAAACGCGGGGCCGGTCCCGCAAGAACCTTCGTAAGTGGACCGAGGAAGAGACGACTGCTCTGCTGCGCGGGGTGGTCAAGTGCGGCATCGGCAACTGGACGGCGATTCTGGCCCAGCCGGAGTTGAAGTTCAACAAGCGTAGCGCATCCAATCTGAAAGATAGGTATGGTATAGCCATGTGGACGTGGAGGAGACACTGGATGCCAACTAAGTTAATCTAGGTTTCGTGTGTGTTGCCCCTGGGCATATCGGTGAGTTAAACGAGACTGTCGATTGTGCACATCTAATCTATCAAGGGCCGCGGATCCCAATGAAGCCACCAAGCAGCTGCATGACACGCTCGCGAACGCCCTTTCGCGAGCCGAAACCGAAGGGACCGACGGACAAGCGGGAAAGATCCATCTCCCACACCCGCGGGGGGCTAATACGGAGGCCAGTGGCGCTGCGGCGAATGAGGCCAGCAGCTCCAAGGATGCTGATTCGAAAGGCAGCAAGGCCAAGAACAGCACCGTGTCTAAGACTACCCCTACGCTCTCTAGTAGATCCAAAACCACGCTGGCGTCCCTGGGCATCCCCGAGCCGCACTTTACAATGAAGTCGCGGCGTCGCTCACGCCGCCCGTTTACCGTGGTCGAGGACGAAGCGCTGCTGAAAGGCTATGCCGTGCATGGCTTCCAGTGGACGCTGATCCAGCAGGACAAGCGATTGAATCTGAGCCATCGCCGGGCCACGGATCTGCGAGACCGATTTCGGACCAAATTCCCGCACGCCTACCGGGACGGAGGGTCCGTGAGCGGACGATTGCCAGGGGGGAATCCTGACCCTGGAAAGCAGCATGCTGCACGGGGATCTGCTCGCGGGCAGGCGGAGAGCGGCAATGCGCGCGGGCCCATTGATCCAGCGCTGTCGCCTCCAGCCCCGCCGCAGGGACTCCACGAGAGCACGAGCAGTGCGGGGGTATTTTCGTTTGCGATGGACGAGAATTCGGGGGTGGATGCGACGTGGGCAGATAATACGTTGGCGCCGATGTGGGATGAGCTTGCATAGTGAGCTGCATAGATGCCTGCATAGCTAGTGTAGTTGCATTTAAACATCAGTAGAGAAGTGTTATTGACTAATTGCAGTCACATAGTAGATTGCATGGGAGTAGTCTGAAGATGCTCAGGATGATAACAGCTTTTATGCTAAGAACAGACAGACATGAAAGACAGAACAAACACTGATTGCAGAATGACAAACAGAACGCTAGTTACATGATATCCGCCAGACAGACAGCAGAATGAAAAAGAACAGACGAATACTACCTACCCTACCTGAACCCGCAATTGCCAATAATTCCCTCCTACCATACCATATACCCTCCCTCATTCATTCTCCCATACCATACCATATCCCCAACCCACTCACCCCTCCATCCCTCCATCCCTCCTACCCCAACGCAGTATACTTTACCACGCATTCCGATCCCAATTCGGATCTACACACAAAGCCAGTTAGCCATACACCCCAAGGGAATAAACTGAAAGAGAAGGATATGGAATAGACGAAGAAGTACCTTGCACAAAACTCGCCAACACCTTACTCCCCGTCTGCAACAACGGATGACCCGCCACAATCTGCAAAAACCGCTGCAACCCCTCCCGCCGATGCTCAATCACATCATCACTGAACCGATTCGTGAATACCTTCCCCGGCAGCGGCGGGATCGTCACCCTCGTCGACTCCCGCTCCAGTATATCCCGGAAGTACTCGAAATCGGAGTATCGGCGCCTTACGACGGAATGTTTCAGTTTGAACGCCGGGATGTTGGTTCGACACACGATTTCGTATGACGTGTACATGTTCCGGGAGGTGCCGTGCGTTTGGGGGTTTCGTACCTAGATTTATTCCCATGGGTTAGATGTGGTTGAGGGGGGGTATGGGGGAAGGGGATGGGTTACTTCTATCTCGAGGAAGTTTTCCGGAGGGCCGTAGATCTCCTCGAAGGTTTGTTGGCGCGATTCGGGGACGGCTTGCATCTTGTTTCTTTGGATTTTTGCCCGTAGGGGGTTGGTTGGTATGTCTGTTGTGTTGGTGTAGAGTGGATGCGGGGAAGCTCGATGCGTTACTAACTTCCAGGTGGTGAAAGTAGTGGATTAACTCGGGGTGGGTTATATTTCTGCGGTATTGGGGATTTCCACGTTGCGGATAGGAATCAATTAGAGACAAAGAAGAGGGTGAGTGTGAATCACCACGGTTCGAAGTAAACAGCAGGGATATCTTAATTCAAAGAGAATGGGAGTAGGCAGATGGCGATAAGAGGGGCTGGAATTCCCGCCGATCGGGTTATCGGTGCATTGTTGCTCCATTCCGCTGTCACTATTACCCCTAGTACTTACAACATTCTAGATAGTACTACGTACTACTATCTTTGTATGCATGCTATTTGCTTCTTATTGATAACTGATATGATATGATAAGCTAAAACTACCAACCAACTCCTATACTCAAACTATTACTACATATGCAGACAAGCAAGAAGCAAAACGAAAAAGAAAAAAAAAAGATTTCTGCAGACCCTTAATTGTCTAATACACCCTAACAGATAATAAAAAACCAATTTCCCCGAACCCGCGCAATGAAACCCAGATATTGATAGATAGAGCAGAGAAATGAAGAATGAAGAGGAAGAAACAGGTGTACAAGGGTCAATCATCACTCCTGGCGACTGCGCTTGGCCCCATGAGGGTTCCATGATCCATCGCCGACGCCTTGATTGGGAGGGAAGAAGCCCTGGTTAAAGGCTGGGTTGGGGCCCTGGAATCCACCTTGTCCTGCTTTACATCAGTATACAAGAACACAACTATCCACTGCTTTCTGGGTACTCACCCTGCATCCCCATGTTACCCGCCATACCTCCCATCATCGGATTCATCGCCCCCGGCATCGCATTCATCCCCATGCCTCCCATCGGGTTCATCCCCGGCATTCCCATCATATTGGGTCCTGCCATGCCACCACCACGACCGCGCATGCCGCCAGGGCCACCGCGCATACCGCCCATCATCCCCCCGCGGTTATTGAAGCCACCGTAGTTCTGCATCCCCATGGGATTCCCCTGGAAGCCTCCGCCCACCATCGGCCCTTGGAAGCCACCCATGGGGTTCTGGAAGTTCCGGTTGCCGCCAAAGTTCCCACCACCCATGCCGCCGGACATGCCGCCCCGGTTATTGTATCCACCGCGTCCGCCGCGATAACCGCCGCCGCCGCCCATGTTGTTCATGCCACCGCCAAAGTTCATGTTCGGGTTGGGCGAGTTGAAGCCGCCGGACATCGAGCGCGCCTGGTTGTCCTTGCGCATCGGCGCATCCTTGGGTAGCGTGCGGAACGGGTTCGGTTGCGGGCTGGTGTAAGTGACCATGTGCTTGCGCGTTTGTCCACCGGCGCTGAATGACTCGATCTTGTGTTTCGTTGCGGTGGCTGCTTGGAGGGTGGTGAATTCGAGGAACGCTTGTCTATATGTATAATAATATCACGTCAGTGGATGGGAGCTGTCATCATCACCGCTGCATCCTGCATCCTGCATCCTGCTTACCCTTTGCTTTTACCGTTCACTTTGTGTTCGCTAAACGTTACGTCCTTCAGTTCATCCTCGCAGTCGGCCTGGCACACCCAGCCGCGGATGTCGTCGTCCGTGGTCCACCAATACAAGTCCGATATGAGCAGAGCAGGAGTAGCATCAGGGTCTGTCGGGCGATCATCATGCTCCTTGCGCTTGGTTCCCTGCTGGGGGGTGGGAGTCTCCTTGGCCGCGGATTGGGGGTTGGCGGAGCCCGCCTGGGTTACAGGGTCACTATGGGGAGCGCCGCCTTCACTGTCGGGCTTGACGGTGCCGTCGGAGGAGCCGTCGCCTTGGTGGTTGGGGTTTCCATTCTGCTGCTGTTGTTGTTGTGTGGGTTCCGGCGCATCTAGGATAAGTTCTGTGTCATCATGTTTCATCTCATCCTCGGGCCCCTGCTCATTGGCATTGTAGCCACCGCCATCTCCATAGATGTCAATATCGAAGTTATCATCTTCGGTAGCCATGGTGTTTTAGCTTATGATCGGATTTCTCTCTCAAGGGAAAACTTGATTGCTTGCTTGTGATATACAGTCCTCCTTGGATATTGGCTCTTCTTCTTCTTCTTCTTCTTTCTCTTCTCAAGCTTCAGGATCGATTTGATTTTCAAGGGAAGTACATGTCTGTAGACACAGGCGGTCAATTAGCAAGGAGGGAATTCTCATCCACTGGATATTTTAGAAAAACAACAATAATAAAAGCAGGCTTCTGGGATCATTTCCTCCGACTCCGATGGTGGGAAATCCACGGTTTTTGTTTTCAACACTCTGGTTTTCTTCTTTAAAGCTCACAGGGGATAAGGCACCAGGCGAAATCGATTGGCAGATGGCAATCGAAAAAAAAACAGAGGAACATAAAAAAGGCTTGATGATACGTACAATCCGAAGCGAAGACAGCTTCAAAAAGAACAAACACTTGACCAGTTCGTCAATCTGATAGCTCTGAAACGGAGATTCTGGCGCCTTGTTCCAGGACTTTTCTTTTTTCTTCAGTACAGGGAAAGGGTAGTAGTAGAATTGGGTTAAGGGAGAGAGTTGCAGGTAATTTCCACAGAAGATGCGGCGCCGATGATCAGCTGCTGCCGGGGCCGGCAAAGCGCTTGTGCTAGAGAACAGGTCCGAGAGATATGAATGAACTTCCAGAGATGAGAGAGTACAGGAAATGGAAGGAGAAGAGAGAATTATGTTCCAGCAAACAACGTCGGTGAGCGCAGTTAGTTTCCCAAGCTCAGCTCAGCTCAGCTCAGCTCTCGCGAGACTGATGTTATTCAGGTTAAGGTCAGGTCCAGTGGTTCACACGTCCAGCTGGAATCCCCTGACTTGACTCGTCGCCGCTAACGCCGGAAGGTGGCGAAAGAAGAGGAGAGAGCGGAGAAGTGAGGAATGCAGAAGGTAAAGAAGAAAGAAGGGATAGGGCTAGGGGAGGATGATGGGGATGGGATGGAAGCGTGGGAAGACGTGTCCGAAGCCAGACTGCGGGTGGAGCGCGATGGGAAGCGGAAGCAGAAGCAAGAGACAAGAGAGAGAGAGAGAGGGAAGGACAGCGGCGATCTCGACCTCAACTCTCCTCCCGGCCTTCTCTCGGCTTCGGTTGAACTTCCGCTCCGGACCCCAGATCGTGACGCGTCGGGATGGTGTTGTTTCGAACTCTATTAGGATCGCAAATGATTCACAAATTTTCTCTTCAGCTGTGAACTACTCTATCCAAAATGTGCAATGTCCTCTGTCTGCCGTGATGGGTCGTGGAGAGCAGTGCTGCTTCTCACGCTGGCCATTTGCTTCCCCGTCCGAGAGAGAAAGAGAGACGGTGCTATTCATAGCCCGGCCTAGATTGTTGACTATATGTGATCGCGTTATCGATAACCCCATCCTCGACCGAGCTAATTACATTCTATAACTATCTGCTTATCCCAGTCTCTTTGGCAATCCTCAATTATTTTCAGCTAGCCAGCCAACGCCATGGCGGTCATGCAGTGGAAAATGGTGGAATGCAGTTACCTGCCTGCGTATACGTCCAAATTCTCATCACCATAACTCATAATGTAACTCATCGTCCAATGCAGATCTTTGGACTGGTCGACTTCGGCTCTGCATCATCTTCTCCCTGAATAAGTTGAATTCCCGAACCGAGTTCAATCGGCTGTCGTAGTTCCCTGCCACCGGTGGATCGCCCTCATCGCTATCCACCCCGTCATTCCAGGTATGCAGTGTGCACGTACCAGTGGACAATCCCCAACCATTCCAGGACGTTGCTGTAACCTCAGATTAGCTCGCTCAATCATCATCCACACAACCGCGATAACTTACCTGCCAAGACAGGGGAGTTCGGGTGCCAGCTGGCATCCCGAACGCATGTCTTCCACATCACATCGCTGCGACTGCTACGGATTTCATACGCAGCGGTGAAGATATCCGGATCGCGCGGCCGCGAGTTGGCCGTCGCTTGCCCTACATCAATCGTGCCTGCAAGTGTGGCATCCAGATTATATACGTATACCTTACCGTCTTCGCTGCCCGTATACACATATCTCGAGTTGGTGCTGCCCGGAGGGGAGAAGTGGCAGCGAATGAGAGTCTTGAGCACGCGGTGGCCCCGGAACGTTACTACCGAACAGTCATGGGGATGAGGTTCGTAATAGTCGTCGGGGTACGGTTCAAATCGATAGTCGAAACCGGTCGTGTATCGATTAACATCGATGGTGTCGAACTTGGCGGTCGTCATCATCTTTCTCAAATCCCAGAGCTTCATCGACTGATCTTTGCCGTTGGATAGTACGTATCGCCCGTCGCCCTTGCTGTCAACATAAGTTAACCCTTCTGTATGACCCATGAACACACCGGCCTCGCGCCCGTCGCCCATCGAGCGTCGATCCCACACGCGCAGCGTGGTATCGTCCGAGCCCGAATAAAGAATATGGGGAGATGACTTGTCGCCGAAGCAGACAGCGTTCACGTCATCTTCGTGGTTCTGCAGCCGCAGGACAGACTGGCGCGTTTCTAAATCGTAAACAATAACCGACTGATCGGATGTGCCAGCCACGATTTCCCGACCGTCGCCCGAAAATCGAATCGACCAGATCTATACCAGTCAGTTAAAATGAGACTGCCCGCTTTGAACCGGTCAGTGCATACCCCGAAATGAGAATTGCCATACAGGCCGCGCCCGCCTCGCCTTCCTGAAAGCGACGACAAATCCAATATAGCCGGATCCGAGGAATCCGCTGGATCGGTAGGCGCAAGACAGACCAGATTCCGAATTGAACTGTACGCCAGGAACTTATTGTCCGGACTCAGACTGGCGTCGGTGATAGTCCACTGCCCAAACGGGTAGTCCACGGTCTTGTAATACTTCCACTCGAACGGATTGGACGTATCGTACATCCTGACCTTGAAGTCCTGAGCGCAGCAGAAGAAGAAATTCCCATCGTCCGAGAACTGTCCAGAATAGCACCGCGAGTCGAAATGAACGATCTTATCCGCCACCGAGCCCGGAATAAGTCCCTACAACAGTCAGCCAGAACCAACCGTATACCCCAGCTGAATGAATCCCACCTGAGTTATCGACTGCATATCCCTCCTCTGCGGCCCCGACACATCCACCCCCAGTTCTCGCCACATGATCTTCGTCGCAAGGGCCTGTTTGCGCCTCTTGAGTTTGTCCACATAGTGAGGGTTGGAACCGAAATCGCCAGAACCCATGAGCTGCGCTCCCTCTTCGCTTGGTACTTTGGGGAACTGCTGACCTCCCGATCGTCGTGCTCGTCGCCGGTATCCGAAGAACCCGAACTCGTAATCTTCTTCCTCGTCGTCCTCTACCACGTTGGCGTCATGTAGTCCGTTATAATGTAGGATATGGCGCAGACCATTCGAAGCCAGGAGGTTCAGTAATCGAGCTGCGGAAACTGCTACAATGAGTGTCCAAAACCTAAGCAACAGCAACAGCAGCAGTAAGCAACAAAAAAAGAATGCGGGCACGCCTACCTCTATTGTGCCTTCCCTCGTGACGCTCCTCACCCTGCTGCTCATGATCCGACTCATCCATGGCGAATTCAATATGTATATTACCTAGATGCAATTCCGGGTCTTGAAAAAAAAAAAAAAAAGTGTGAGTTCTCAAAATAAAGACACTAGCCAAAGAAGAAGTAAATTCAACGCATGCAAGCCAATGTGCCAGTTGTAAAAGAAGGAGGGGGGGTAAATCCTACCGAAGCGATGATCATCAGCATCATCAATGTCTTCCTCGTCTTCATACAATTCCGCATCTAGCTCTTCTTCTTCTGCCTCTATTTCATCCGGCTCATAGTCCATATCATCCTCATCCTCGTCCTCTTCCAACCATTCCCTAGCGGGATGCCATACAGTTCCAGAATCTCGGGACGGAGGAGACCCCGGTTGGGCGGGGGGCGAGCCAGACGGCGGCGGCGGAGGAGGAGGACTAGTACTCATGATCGGCCGAAAACGTGAGGGGGGTTGGGAGCAGTCGGTGAATGGGCGACTGGGATCATATCATAGCAGGCTACTAGTACTCTTACTAGTCGGTTATGGTCTGTCACCCGACTTCCAATAGCAAGGGAGAGAGCAATTAGTGGTGATAAAAGGACAAGGGGAGGTGTCGGGGCTGCGTCTTCAATTGGCCGGCAATCACTGGCTCCGAAATAGTTGGTTTGGAGTCGTTGCTGGCACCGCTTATCGATACCGGTCGGTTATGTCATCTCGGAGTGCGCGGGCTTGTTAACTCCTATCCCCGATGCCGGGTGCGGAGGATGACAATGTCATAGTTCATTATTCAAAATGTGTATCAAGATTCATATTAACGAGTCATGAAGCTCGTGTCACATATTAATATACACATGTAAGGGATATCAACATCAAGTCATGCGGTCGTAAGATTCGTGACTAAAGAAAATATTAAGTGTACATTCCAAAAAAGTCAACCGAAATAGCCTCTACAGAGGCAATAGAGTCACTCAGTCAGGCTCTCGTCTCCGAGCCACAATCCTCTTGTGAAGAGGTTCGAAATATGCGCGGATAGGGGCTTGAAGTATTCCATCTCTTCTTCCGTTGCAGACATGACGCCGGTGATCAAACTGGAGAATGCGTCCGCTACCACCTCTGTGCCTCGGCTGAACATCACTTCGATAGATGGGGCCGCATGGATACCTTGTTCAATTACCTGGAGCTCAGTGCCTACCTTGCTAGGCTCAGAAACTTCCGCGGAAGTGTCTGTGAATGAATTCATCAATGGCTTCCTCTTCATAACAGTGGCACGCAGGATGAGGACCCCGGAGATCACTTGGAGCTTCGTTCGCAGCAGTGAATGCTTTCTCCGCGGAATTTGTCTAGCTGTGGATTGGTAACACATCCTTTCCCATGGATAGGGTACGTAGCGCCGACTAATGGCGGATTCGGTTTGTTTCCCCGAAATGCCCTTTCCACCGATACCTAAACCGATGTTTAGCAGACTCATCCATTGGAAGAGGATGGGGCAAGCACCCACAGTACGACAATGACACTGATTCTAGGAGGGCGGCCTCGCAGACGAGCCAAGAGACAAGCATCTGGTCGAAAAACTCTTGCACTGCATTCAAGACACAGAATGAGAGGATTTCGTACGACTGATATGTCGACTCCGCAACAGACAACATATCGAGTGTTTGTTTCAACTCCTTGGTCATCATTAGCTTACCGATTCCATACCCATGAGCAGCTTCGACTTCTTCTCGTGGTACTTTGGTGTCCAGAGAAGGTAGCGCTTGGCAATATGAAGTGTCCAGACTTATCGGGGAACAAGTCTCTTCAGAGCCAACAGGCGAATCCCGACTAAGAGAACCAGGTCTGCCAGAATGTACTTCCCCATCATTGGAAGCTCCCAAGCCAAGGGTACGGCCACCCGATGATACTCGAGCTCCTAGATGATAACCTTCTTCAGGTTTTGTATGCCGATCATAATCACCGAGGGACGGAGACTCCAGAGGGTGCTCACTTGGCGACAGGGAACAATGATCAGCCCGGAGTGGGTGCGCAAGAACACCTATATCACCTTCATCAATTGCCTGCCTGGAGCTCTGCGGTTCTCCGCTTCCTTTCAGGTCTCTCTCAAAAGCGTGGAGCTTGCAGCTACTGTCTGTGCACAAGTGGCACTGGAAGGAGGTCCCCTTTAGACGACGGCACTTATCGCAATCGTCGAAAATGTGTCCACAGCCTTGACACCGCTTCTCGGAACTATCATCAGCCATAGGAGGGAAGCCCCGCTTGGGGGTTAGATCCGTGCTACCGGAAGGCCGTGATATACGGCGATAAGCTTTGTCGCCCGGGTTGCTTATATCCGTTTCACCAGGTGTGGATGGCGGGCAATCCTCGCCGTGGGAGACCGAGTCGCAGCTTTCAGCTCTCTCTGCCATCTGCATCAGTGCCAAATGCTGGCTTGTGATATTAGATGGGGCAGGAACTTCCACCGTGTGTGGTACGTCGCTGGAGCAGCAAGACGATGATGGAGCTATATCTGAGACAGCATCAGCTTCAACGGAGGAGTAGCCTGAGGTAAACTCTTCGTCATCTCGGTTTGTAGCGCCCCTGTAGCCAGAGAAACTGTTACCGTAATGGCTATTAGCCTGACCGGCACCAGTCGAAGAAAATCCCCCATTGTTGCCAGGGTAGAACTGGTGCGGACCAAATTGACCGAAACCACCTCCAGGGAAGAAATTCCCACCGAAGCCAGGTCCGTTATTGCCCCCTCCTCCGCGATCATCACTGCCCCGTCTACTCTGGCTTGCACTTGAAGTGGTCGAACCGACTTTCCTGACACGACAATGGTTGGCAACGCACTTGAAGTACTCCGCCCAGCAGTTTACGGGCTGTGGACATAGCCCACATTGGCGTGGTGGCATCTGTCTAATTGTCTTTCGGTCTATTTGCGTTCGAGACACTTGGTACATATGCTGGTTTCTCATGTGGTAATAAACCTTGTCCCGTCTGTTTGCTGCCCAGGAGCATCGTGGATGTACGCACTGATAGCGAAATTCAGAGTGATGTTGGTCTGAGACGTGACGCCTGAAGTTACCACGCTCCGTATAAGATTTGCGCTTTCCATTGGGGCAGAGTTTGCAGACGTAGTTGTATCCATTGTGCGGGCTGCCAGGCGAGTCAGACGAACCGGGCGAATGAGATGGATACTCTATGATATCAATCTGGTGCTGAATCATCCTGATAAGTCTGTTGTGGCTGGCACTGAGCAGGTCTCTCATCTCATAAAGATGAGCTGCATCTTGCTGTGGCAGTTTCGTTTCAACTGCAGTCGCAAGTTGAGACAGAATAGGGTCGAGATGATTGGCGTGCATGCCACCCTGCGCTTGAGAGATAGTAGGGACTACCAGGGACAATGGGTTATCCTCGCCCACAGGTATGCCCTGTATGCCATTGTTTGCCATATGCCCACCCGCCATATCGTTCAGCAATTCGTCCGTGAGAAAGCTCATGTCTAGATGCAGCCCATCAGTTGGACTGATACTTCTCGAAGTCGATACTGGCGAGTGCGGAGAGGATGGAGCATAGTGCTATATGCCAGAACGTTAGTCGCTAAAGCCACGAAGCTCAATGGATTCGATTATTGACTGACCGATGAGGTAGCATAGGAGTAAAAACCGGGCATTAGATGGTTCCCTTGGGGTGATTGAGGGGAAAAGATGGGCCAATTGCCCTGAAAGAAAGAATTTCTGCCGTTTCCCGTGTCATCTCCCATCGATGGAGGCTATTGAATCCTGTCGGATTGAAAGGAAGATCAATGCAAGTCAGGGTGGGGTGGGTTGAGGATTGAAAGAAGCAAACACAGAAGACAAGATGAGGTCAAGTAAATGGAAGAAGAAATCCTCCCCTGTATCGCTGACAGGCACACAAAGATTAAAGAGAGCAGTCTTAACAAAGGAGAAAATAAAGTTGCTTTTGAAAGGAAGCTCTAGGACTTGTAGGAAATCTTGGTTTTGCGATGAGTAGAATCCAGCAACAGAAAAAAGAGTAGCTTCGGGGGGTGATATTTCCGCTCTTATATGGTGGTAGTAGTGTAGGAGTAGGAGGGAGTCATCCATCATTACAGGGCGAAAGGGCCCCCCCCCGTATGACCGATACCAGTTCAGCAGAGCAGGTATTGTTACCTCTGAAGACTCGAGTGTTTTAGTGACGTCTGCGCGGTACTAGTCTGGGCGATGTTTGCGTGTGATGTTCTGGCAGCCTTGCCGGCCATCATCCCCAGGCACTCTGGCTGGCCGGAACGTCATCGACTACCAACAGTCCCCAAACGATCATGGAGGAGCTTGCTGCCTAAAGTTCTGGACTGAAGAATTGTGAGTAAATGCAATTTACTGGATAGAGGAACTTCCATTCGCGAATTGAGAGCTCAGTCGAGATTTCTCTCACTTTTGCAACTTCTACAGGCGAAACTGGTGTCGACTTCCCGGAACTACACTGCACTGCCATTCGTCGGTCTTTAATCAGCTGCTACTTATCTACGGAGTACTACTACTAACCTACTTCTGGAAGGATCACCGCTAGCAAGTTCGACATTGCTGAGGAGCTTCATGCTGCTACGCAAGCTGTTACGGTAGCTACCCAAGAGATCTCGCACATCTATGCTTGCTATCATCAATCAATAGCAAATGTGGATCCTAGTCCAGAACACTATGTCTGGAACGTCTACCAACAGGAACAATATTCCGATTGGACTGGAAAGGGTAGCCTTACGCAGTCTACCGACTCCAAACGAGGATCGTGATCTAGAATAGCCAAACCATCCCCGTGCCCAACGACAGAACAAGATGATCGATCCACAAAGTGAGGCGACAACGGCTCTGATATGGATATAATCTCTGGATGAATAATCTCGGAGAGCGCCGAGTCCCAGAGCACAACCTTGGTGGATAGCGAATTATGGATGGGCCAGATTAAGTGTGGCTAACGAGAAGTGGGTGAACGGTCAGATAGAACTGAAAGGTAGGGTCTAAGCAACGGGGGTTTCAGAACCCCCGGATCGGGGACTATTCGAGCAGCTGCGCCACAGGGGAAACTCAGTAAGAGTTCACTTTCACCCTCCATCCACTGCACTGCTTACCCCGCTTCTTCTCCCACAAGGCTAGCGCGGTGTCCGCTCTGAATGGCACTTGAACAATTCAAGACAACAGCCACAAGGTTTTAATGGCAGAGATCCAGAACGCACCAAGACTGCGTGAATTATTTGACTTGCCTCATTCTGTTGTGAAGTCCTGACTGGACAGATATTGAAGGGCCTCTTCCCCTGCCCCGAGTTAAGCCGATGCACAGCAATTTCCGCAGTAAGACTCGAGGCAACAGCAAAGGAGCAGTGCTGCTCTTTTCCGTGGCTTAGTTAGTAAGGGATTAAGTAACGTCACACGCTACTACTCTCCCAAACACCGCCCTTCTGCAGAATCAGAGGCATCTGCATCGGTCCGTCAAGCCCAAATTGACGTAGGAGCGATGCCAGTTGTGCATTGCCCGGGTTTCCCATGGTGGCTGTACCCAGACAGCTCATCTCGTCACGATTTCCAGACAACCGAGGCACTACAAGAAACGGTTTATTCTGGAGTTGAGCTCCAAGCTACTGGTAATGTAGAAGTTCCTCCAACATGTGCTCCGGAGAGCGTACCTGGCTATCGCCAATCACCATCTGTTCAAGGCTACGTACCTTTAAAGCTATGCAGAGTCTAGAATTTGCCACTCGAGAACTAGTGGTTCAACGGATCAAGTCTATCGCAATGCTTGAATCGGAATACGACTTCCATAGAATTCACGTTACCTCCCCTGACTCAGGTGTCTAGACTGGGTGGCAAATTAGCCCGACCATCGTTCTTCCCCTACTCACTATCCTACTTTCGTCATAACTGAGGCTCTTTCTCAACACTCTAGAACGATACCCAACACTTGATCGACTGCTTGGGTAGCTATTGAGTGCCCCCGACCGTCTCGCTCATCTCACGTAAGATGCCGACAGAAGACATATCGGAGGGAACACGCCAAGTTACCTCCGTTGCTTGAATCGACGGACATATCCGTTAAAGGACCATGGTCCGATGTATTCTTTGCCCTGGCCTTAAACTCTAAGCAGAGTGGATGTCCCGTTACTTATGCAGGCAATGAGTTTCATAACAGTTGCCTGCCGCGCCCCGTCGTTCGTATGCTGTCACTAAATGAACTCCGTTGGGGTGAATAAGTAACTAAATTACATAAAAGAGAAGAAAATAAAATGAGAAGAAAAAAAGAAAAAAGAAAAGAGAGAAGGATGATTCCACACTTCCCACTGCATATACCACCCCCCTCCCCCGACAACCCAATCATCATGATCATTTACTAATCTCCTACAGACCATTCCAGAACTGCATCCCCTGGCCTTACCTAGTTATACTTCCATTCTATCTACTAATACCAAGTCATACCAACCATACAAACCACAAACTCAGTTCACCACCTCTTTCAGGTATGATCTTTGCGATCTTTCCACAACAGAATCTACATCTCCGTAACCATTAAGTTCTGACGCTCCATACCAAGAAGTAGGGCATCTCTTAGCACTCTCATCACTGCTCAGCCACCATCAAGTGAGGCATTCGTTGTCTGGGAGTTGTGAGAGGTGCAGTGCTGCAGTCCGTCTTGCATAGCCACAAACTATGAGGTCTTTGGCATCGAAGAGTGTATGACATTGTAGCGATGTTACAGTAGTTTCTCACTGTCAAGGAGACTGTAGCACTGAGCCCTTTTCCTGGCTGTTTTGTTGGCTGGGTGGGGATCGAGCTATATCATACTAGTAGTATATCATGTAAACTGTGTTGTCTGGAAATACGGGGGCTTAGAGCCTAGATCAATGTTTGGGAAAGACACCATCCCAGCTATGGAAAGAGTTCGTTTCAAGCGCTATTTTATTTGGAAATAGGGTCATAGTACATTACACCCCAGAAATATTATTGCAGAAGCGGCTACTGAGAAACGTCACAATAAGGAAAAAACAGACCCATCCTCATTAGTCATGTAATTCATAAGCAAACATACGCCTTGCAACTCCTCCACGTGACATAAATCTCCCATGTACCATGACTCCCTGCTTGAACGATGTAAAAGGATTAGAGAGCAACGTGATTATAAATCATAAGCACGAAGTTGACACATATACGATGTCAAACGACCGCGAATTCTCCAATGTGTCCGGAAGCCTGTGTAGTATCCCCGATAGGTTCTCCCAAGATATACCACTGGGCAAGTGATTTGAAGGCATCGGAGTTCCCGTGGCTAAAATCATACATTTTGGTCGGACGCAGCACCAGATTCTGATCCTTGAAGAATGCTTCGACCACTCGGGCTTGTAGCCCCATGAGCGAGAAAATAAGGACCTGTAGCACGTATCAGCTTTGAGAAAGCAACAAGATTGACTGGTGGACGTGGTGCAGTCATTTACCGGTGAGACCATTTCATGGATGAACTTCCGTCTCCGAAGCTGTGTCAGCATAATCCGAAGAATTGGCATCAACTCGCCGAAGAGGATTGTGGAATCTGTGGCGACTAGATTATTGTACATGACCGCCTTGACATGTGGACGTGTAGGGCCATTCAGCTCGGCGATACGATAGCACCCAAACTCGGGCTGTTCATACTTGTACAAACTGGATTTCTCGAATGCGGAGTCACCAACACTATGGAGAGCCTGTTAGTGTATATTTTAAGTCTCAATGATGGATATCCTACCATTTTGAGAACCAGGTGGTCCTATACCCTTCATGATCGGCTTTCATGGAGTAATAGGTGATGTAAGACGAAAGGTGGATATCCATTGCATATGCGCGATCGACAGGGCTGGTAAAAGCTGGGTCTGTTTCATCGTCTACTCCGTTATATGGTCCATGAAGGTCATCATCCTTGGGATCTGGGATTGAGTGGTCTGCCAAGGGGGCAAAATAAGATGGTTTGTGTGGTGAAGCTTGGTCGAGCGACATAAGATCGACTCGAATATTGAGTTGTTCCAATTGCTGTAGGTCTAGTTCATCAATTGCCAGGCTCTTGATCTTGAGGGCCAAGTCCCTCAATGCTGCCCTCATTTGGCGGCGGGCTGGAGGTTCCACCTTATGTGACATGGCGATATAGATAGCTGAGCTAGTAAGTTGTGTACAGCCGAGAATTTGGATTTACATAGAATTGACTGGGTATATGAGAACGGAGAAGGAGAACTTTGTGCTCTCTTATATCTTGTTCTGTCTCCCAGAAGGTCGCATTGGAGGTGAAAACAAATTGTTTCCTCTTTTGAAACAGCAACATTGGTTGCCGGGAAACCACCAATCAGCGCTCCCAGATTCACAGTTTCCTACACTATATGAAGTGCTGTGAAGGCGCCACCAAACCCATCCAACCTATTACTACAATTTGTGTCTCAATATTTTGTTTGGTGAATGAGACTACATCAAAGGAAAAGCATCTAAATTACTTTATCCGTCATGTTGGAAGTTCAAATAAACAGCTATGGACTTTCCCATATATCGCTTTTCTGTTCCGGCTGCTGTTCCTTGCGTATAACCTCATATTGCTATCGATCGAGCCGGGATTGCTTCGACCAAGATGAGTCCTCGCAGCAAAAATAGGCATATAGATTACAGTCAGGCAATTTTGGGTCGACATCATGATAACAATGTTTCACTGGCCAGGCTGATGCCTGCCCATCTCACAACAGAGGGGAATGAATAGCCAGCGCAAACGCCACCAACTCAAGCGTTGTGTATATCGTGATAGAACCATTCACCATAACAAGACACTTCACTAAATTTTCTTCCAGCGATATGGCCTTTATTTGCGGCCTATTTCTTTCGATCTTCCCAATTCTGGGTTCTCGTGAGTCTAGATAGCTGCGAACCTGTCACTGCATATTCCTATCTCAACGTTTCTTATCCAGTCTCCTGCTTCCCTCTGAGCTCGTATCATCATTGCTCATACATTTACATCTTCATAACCATCATGTCAGGCGTAACAGATGATCTACCTTCAAATGAGAAGAGATGGGAAGCTGCCATGGCTCGGATGGGCCTTACAGGTCAAACTATCCACGGCGCGGAGTTGGACTCTGCCTCAAAGATTGAATATAAACAATTTCTTCTTCTTCAAGTACTGTGGGAGACACGCCATATCCAAGATCTGCCCAAACTGCTCCCTGACTTGAACAAATGGATTGTTAAAGCAGAGGAACTGTTGAAAGATTACAAGTCATGGCAAACATATTGTCAGGAATTCTCATCGAAAGATATGGGGGAAGGGAACTTCACAATTGCCCGGCTCTATCAGCTCGAGGTTACAAGCACAAAAGACGACGTAGATCCACGGTCACTTGCAACACCTGTTGCACATCGAACACGCGCTAGGGTACTGAGTCGAAAGTTAGCCGACATGTATTTGGCAACGCCCACAAAGTCCAAAAATGTCCCTGAGTCCCTAGACGTGGAAGACCAAGGTCTTGATACACCTAAGAATACTCCGGTGAAGTCGATTCCGGAAACCCCAAGTCCACCTCAGAAGATTTCACCTCCTTCCAAAGAGCAAATGGACGTGCTATTTCCTCCGACTAGGGACGAGAAAATCGTCAATTGCGCCCTTGTTATCTTCATGAATGCTCTAACAGCACCGTTCAAGCTCGCTAACAATTGGACCTTGCACAGAAAGGCTTTCAAGGCTGATTTCGGAGATGCTAGTTTCGAAGCCAGAACCGATGGGTATCTGGATGACCGGCAAGGTAACGCTCAGGCCATTATTGAGGTCAAACCGGTCATGCGAGCAAAGAAACTGGCTGCTATACGAATGCAGGAGAGTGCGCAGATGGTTGCGTGGGTCAAAAGTGATGGTGTACAGGCGTTTACAATGGACAAAGAGTATGTCAATCATCTCTCAACGATCATTATCACGAAGTAACACACCGGGATACTAACTATGAAGGCGCTTTCTGACCGCGCAAGACCGGCATGAAATATATTTGACCGTTTCACAGTACGATGACGAATATGTCAAATTTCTGGCGGACAAAAACTATACGAGCCAGTCCCGGCCCTTTTTGATTATGCGTCAGTTTGGCCCATGGAGTACATTGAACCTGGCCCATGTGATGAAAGTAGCGCCTATTCTGCTGGCAATATCACTTCGTGCAGATGCACAGCTCAGACAGAGAAGAACCTCGTCGAATTAAAGGATACTTCTAGGTTTGGCGGTTGCAATAGCACTTTTATGTTGACGGCCCCCTGAGAACAGGCACCTTATCAGAGATCCCCTACAAGAGGTTTCTCCCTAATCTTCTTCATCACCCTGTGCTTAAGGTAAGTCTACATATCTGTCATTGGTTCAGGGATACAATACTATCTTCATTGACCTTTCGCTGATTTCTTAGAAGGCATGTGTTCAAGCAGAGCACGACTAATCACTCTTCAAAGATCTCATGCTCTGAATTCTCTCTAATATCAAACCACAGTCAAAGACGCCACCCTTATAATTCCATCTACCTTCATTGTTAATACCAATATCTAATGACCCCTCAGCATCTCATCTCCATGTCTGACCTCTGTAGAAGCTAGTACCATTGGGAGAAACATTGTTGATGTCGTTGACTTCCAATTTATGTGTTCCTATGTACCCATGAATATATATCTTCGTATGTCATTAGATTCATACCACGACACGACACGAGACCACACCACAATGCAAACGGTCTTTGCTCCATATCTAGACTACTATGCAGGTCAGTTCGTTAATGAGGATGACCTTGGGAACTTGACTCTGTTGAGGGGAAAGACCAGGGAGTCTTTTGTCACCTACGGGTTGACTTGATACTTTTAAAGAAGCAATACTGTTTGGTATACTAGTAGCTGACCATTTTTGTATTTGTGGCAGAGGACAATGATACTACTTATCATTGCAACATGCATGGTTGCAAAAAAAATCACGTTTTATATTTACCTAATGTGCCTTGTCCCGCTGAATAGTCATAGCCGCGGTTCTGATGAGGGCAGATGGCTACAATTGGGCAAGACCCCTTCTCCAAATGCTGCTTAATCGAGACTATTCATGCATTATGGGGGAGATACATTGGCAATAGGACACGTTTAGAGGTGGTACAAGTTTGATTCTTCTACATCGTCTTCATTGTAGAGTGTGTGGTATATACACAGGATCTCCCGCTCGCAGAAACCAAGAAGCGAGTTGCTTAGTGGGGGTGGTTCTTGTGGTGGCCTGTAGAATGGTAAGTCCTGCTGCTCAATATACCAGAAGAATATAGGGAACGTACGGAGGTGGAAGTAGTACTCCATGCTGTAGCCCAGGATCAGGATGGTACCGATGGCGTGGGCGAGGGCTATCGAGTTGCAAATGATCAGCATCTTTCGCACTGTAAGACTTGATTGAGAGAGTGTACTCACGAGCAGCGGAGGGGTTCTTTCCGAAGTAGCGAGCCTGGTAGCGGCCGATGATGCCGGTAGGCTTAACTTCAGGGGCAGCACCACGGGGGAGTCTGGCGTAGAAGTTCACGACACGGTCCATGCGGGCAGCATCCTTGGCAGCACCGATCGCCTTTTTGACAGTTAGTTGAGTTCAACAGGTATAACGCGCGTTTTGTTGAGTTCCCGAGGTAAAGCACGAAAGAGATTGCTCCGGGCGGTAACGTCTAGGCAGGGTCGGGGATGATGAAGGTAGGGGTTCTCACGTTGGGGGAAGCGATCTAAACGTCAATTAGCACTAAATTAAGACAGATTCTTGTGGTTGTATCGGTTGTTTCTTACCTTGGGAGGGATCAAGGTCGAGAGACCGCGGCGGGCGATGTAGCTCATCTTGTAGGATCTGTGCGACCCCAAGTCAGAAAATTGTCGGATCAATGAAAAGAGGGACGCAAAATACAGAGCGTCACTCAGGGAATAATCAACTTACCTTGACGCTAGCAGGTGAACTAGGACAATGGATAATGACGGAGAGAAGGAAGAAGTGCCAACGAGAAAGCGGGTTGTCGGAAGAGCGGTTCGACGCAGGGAGGCTCATTCGAGTCGCGCTAAACCGCTTTCGGACTCGTCTGAAGGCCGGCACTCGCCGCATACCTCAACTTGCAATTGCTCTACCGCAGCACCTTGCTCTCTCCACTCCTCCAAGCACAACCTCGCCATCATGTCGCTTGCCAGAGCAGGAAGATTCGCCTGCCTTCGCACGGGCAGGCTCGCCGCCCCCGTCAATGCGCGTTTTGTGTCCACAGGCACCGGTCGAGGCGACCCTTCCCGCACATCCAGCACTTCTGATGCCCCGACTGTTCCTCACACCGAGAGCACCTTGATCCGCAAGGAGAGCCCTTCTGAGGCTATGACCCGTCATCAGCCCGATTACGATGCCACCATTGATCACGGCACCTCGTACGAAATACCCCACCTCGCGCATAATTGGAGTGGCTAAACTGACCAATCGAAATCAGTCAATTCTCCCCTGTGCCCAAGCGCGTCATGGATGGCAGTGAGCCTGGTGCCACTGTTGCTGCCGCTGTTCTGTCCGGCGCTCCCACCGACCTGCAGGCCCGTACTGTCCGGTATGAAGCTCCATAAACGATATCTGTCGCCCACCCGTATCAGTCGCGCTGATTCAGTGATATACAGGATCTACCGTCAAGCGAAGCCCGCAACACAGTCCGGAACCTGGCACGCTCACCACTGGAGAATGGATTGGGATATCCTGCAGAGGGGTCATCGCTGGGAGAACCCCCTCATGGGCTGGCAATCCTCTGCTGATTGCATGCAGGGTACCCACCTGAACTTCAAGAGCAAGGAGGATGCCATTCTGTTCGCCCAGAAGCAGGGATACGAGTACTTCGTTCAGGAGCCGAATGAGCGTCGCTTCGTCCCCAAGGCCTACGCTAACAACTTCGTCCACGAACCGAAGAAGCTCAAGCACATCAAGACTAAATGATTTGGGTTTCTCGTGTGTCATGTACATAAGTGCAGGTCTTTGTTTAAGTTCTGGGTTGTTGCTAGGTGATAAATTAACTTTCCTAAATGTTACACATTTTTTCGCTACTGCAAACTTTTATTGACATAACCTGGTGGATCTCCTGACTGCCGGCGTGCACCATTGAGTTCATATATCGAGTATAGCGCCAAGCGACTCTTGAGAAACTCGAAAAGCATTCAGAAAAAGCTTGCGCTAGTTACCAGTGCATTTTAGAGAATAGCTCGCTTTGTGCCAGGTATCACAAGAGGCATTGGTAGTAAATCTCGATATCCATGTCCAGTCTTTGTTGGTCCTTTAACGAGGCAAGGGCATTGCAGTACGGAAAGTTGAGCCTCTATACTTTTGACATGCTGTGCCTTCTTTTCCTGGTACTTTATTTTCAGAATTTCATTACACTAGCACAGCTAATAATGGTCAAAGGACTGGTAGAATCAATGTCGCTTTGGTATGCCACTCTTTACTTTAGTTGTACGAATGGTCTGAGCTCACTGAGGAGTGACCCTTTATATATACAGGCGTGCTACTAGTACTTACCAGATGAATAACCGAGGGATATGAACATTATAGAATGACCATCATCTACTACAATGTTAACAATATAACGCAGTCCCTCCATGATATGAATGATTCGATACTATGCCATGAACTGCTACGAGTAATGATTAGTAGTAGTTGGGTGGTTCTGATGTACTAGTCTAAGTGGCATCTCAAGAAGGGAAAAATGACTACTAAGTTTCTCCCAAACCTCATCCGGATAAGGCTAAATCCTCCGAAAGCACGAGGGAAGAACAATAGTTCACTGGGTAGCAGATGAGTACTACTACTACTACTACTACTACTACTACTACTACTACTACTACTACTACTACTACTACTACTACTACTACTACTACTACGTACTATCCAGGCACGCAGCAAGTGGATCGCTCTTTTTGCCCGTTCCGCAATCACTCGAATTAGGCTTCAGCGGTCTGGAGAAAAGAGGATGGAAATAACGGTCTGCTCGGAATTGTGCGATAAATATTTACATAAAGGCAATGCCTTATGACTGTCAACTAGACTATATATAATAAAATGTTTCCTCACATTCCCACTTTCTCAAAGAAGATTAGCCTCAAAAATATCGTTCGATGATCACCATCCCGGCAGGAACAGATCCGGCAAAAGAGACCGAGCATAACTCTGTTAGAGAGAGAGAGAGAGAGTGGCACAAGCAAGATTTACAAAGCAGAAGGCGCCCAGCCACGGCGGTTTGGAACCCCGCCGCCCCCACCTAAAATTTATTATCGGGACGTGATAAGATCGAAAATTTACCTATCGTCGTTTATGCCTGAAAGGTCCTCCTCCTCTTCTCCCCTTCTTGCCCCTCGTTTTTCTCGCTGGATCTCGTGAAATTGTGCAAACTAGAAACACTCCTTAATCAATAATTTTTTTTCTTATTTCTTATCATGTCTGCTGTCAACGAGAACAACCTGGAGGGGGTGAGTGAGACTGTCCTCACCCTCCGCAAGGTTATTGTCAACGAGTCCGAGCCCCTCGCGCGCCGCTTCCGGGCCCTCTTTTCCCTCAAGTACCTGGCCTGCCTGCAGCCTCCCTCTGAGGACACCCTTCCGGCTATTGAAGCCATCGCTGCTGCTTTCTCCTCCAAGTCGGCTTTGTTGAAGCATGAGCTTGCCTACTGTCTTGGTCAGACTCGTAACCCTGACGCTGTCGCGTACCTTCAGCAGGTTCTGAAGGATAAGGAGGAGGATGTTATGTGCCGTCATGAGGCTGCGGAGGCCTTGGGTGCTCTGGGTTATGAGAACAGTTTGGAGATTCTGAAGGCGCTGAAGGATGATGCGAATGAGCCTGAGGTCATTAGGGAGACTTGCGACATCGCCGTGGACCGTATCGTCTGGGAGAACTCCGAAGCCAGGAAGGCTGAGAAGCTGAAGCCTAGGTATGACCTTACTTTTCTTGTTTTGTCGCAGCCAAGTCATTCGGATTGCATGCTAATCAAGTGCTTCTATATGATAGTGACTTCACCTCCATCGACCCCGCCCCGCCAATGCCCCTTGATGCCGCAGAACCCTCTATTCCCGAGTTGGAGAAGACATTGTTGGACACCAAGCTCCCTCTCTTCCAAAGATACCGTGCCATGTTTGCCCTGCGCGACCTCGCCTCGCCTCCTGATCTGCCCACCGCCGTTCAGGCCGTCGCTGCGCTCGCCAAGGGTCTCAAGGACCCCTCTGCGCTGTTCCGCCACGAGGTCGCATTCGTTTTCGGTCAACTCTGCCACCCCGCCTCCGTCCCTAGTCTCACCGAGTGTCTGAGCAACCAAGAAGAAGAAGGTATGGTACGCCACGAAGCTGCCGAGGCCCTCGGTAGCTTGGGTGACGTTGATGGTGTCGAGGATACCCTGAAGAAGTTCCTGAACGACCCCGAGCAGGTTGTCCGGGACAGCATTATCGTGGCTCTTGATATGGCCGAGTTTGAGAAGAACGGAGAGATGGACTATGCGCTGGTGCCGGACTCTGGTGCCCCTGCTGCCGTGTCTGCTTGATGAATTATGCGAACGAAAAGTCTACAATGCCGGTAAATAGTTGCTTTCATGACTCATAGATGTACAATCGAGAATTCCCCAAAAAAAGATAGACACCAGGTCTTTGCCGTTTAGTTGTTCGTCGATTCCCTGTGTAACGGAAGATTAGTATAGGGTATGGGAAAGGGAAGGGCTGGTAGATTGCATACTTGTGACCACAGACACATGTGTAAAACACCGTACTACCTTCATCTGCACTGCGCAGTTGTACGGTGGTGTAGTACATCTCTTTCCGTCCACACTTGATGCAAGTATGTTGAGTAAGGGCTTCGGTTCTTCTGTCTGACGCCGTCAAGGTCTGGACCGCAGATCTTTTCGCTCTCAAGGCAGACGGGAATGCGCTCGGCTTGGACTCGGAGACAATGGTCTGGGGAACGGTATCTGAATAGCGAGGTAAAAAGGGACAAGGTCAGTGAATGCGACTTTGCAACATAGGATACCAACAAGGCAAACCTACCTTTATTCCTAGCTCCGCAGACATCGCAGACAAGAATCTTAGTCGGATCACCAATTGAACCCTCCAATAGAGAGCCGCAGTCAGTGCAGAAGACGAGAGTTCCAATCGCAGACATATTGAAAGATATTGGTTTGCGACAAAAAAAGTACCAGATCAACCGGAACAATTGAAAACGAATAAATGACCCTTCACTTTTTTTTTCTTTCCCGCCTTGAATTTCTTTGGATGGCGGCGGAAAGAAAGGCTCTAGCACGGGCCAATTTTCGAAGGTCCAGCGCGCCATTAGTGCCGGGCGGTGAGGCGCGGCAGCGGCAAGAGAACCGTGCCTGGCATTAATTATTGCATTGGTTTGCCATGGAGATCTTTGGATGATCAGGCGTTTATCGGGGGTGGTCTCTCATTCTCCTTGCTCCCATAGCCATGTCTCTGAGGAGGGCATGTCCAAGCTACCGTCATAGATCTTCTTTCAACCCATCTTTAGCTTCCCAGTAGGGATATCCGCCGCCATGGCTCAAAACTGGCACCCGGCCGTTCAGGTCGTCATCAACGGCCATCCTCAAGCGCAAGCTCATGCTCCCAGCGGGCAGGCTCGCCGTTGGCAAAGGCCGTTGGCTGTGGAGGAGGCGTTGCAGTACTCTCCCATGTCCAGCTCGCCGATCTTCGGTTTAGGTCAGACTGAGATAAAACCCCTTTCTGTGAACAAAGTGAACTTTAACTAACTGATTGACTTGTCTCCTTAAGATTGCATCCTACGCCCGGACGTCGGTCGACCCCCCAATACGACCTCCATTAATCACATCCTCCAGTCCGGCCGTACAGCCTTAAGTCAGCTCAATGGCGAAATCCAATCGGGACGAGATGAGTCGAATCGCTTGGAGACATCTCGGGAATACTTGCAGCAGTTGTTGGATGGTGATCAGTTGACCGAATTGTGAGCCTCATTAATGCTTCATTCTTATATCATCTGCTCACCTATCTATTCCGGTAGCAAGTTCAAGCTGCCGACAAGCTCGATTAGCACTCAGCAATCACCTTCGACAGCGGCCAACGATCATGTCGCCAGCAGCAACAAGCTTGGCTCATTTGCGAAGATGATGTTGGATGCTACGGATATTGCTTTTCGATGTAGGGCTTTATCGTTTCACATGGGCTTCAGAATTGAACTGACAATGTACAGATCCTACGCCTGATGATATGGAACCGCCGCACAAGCCCACTTCCTTTAACGAAAAGCAACCTGCCGTCGCACATAGACCTGCACCCACACCCTCATCCCGACCGAGTCAACAGACAAGTCAACTGTCGGTGGTGATCCCCGTCAAACCACTGCCACCCCATATAGACGAACACGGCATGTCGAAGAAGAGAAAGCTCAATGCTGATGGGGGCGAGAACCTTACGGCCATCCGACTGAAAGACCAAAAGGAAGAGGCAGACGCTGCCCTAGTCAAGTTGCAGGACATGCTTCATGAGATCTTCGAGTCCGAGGATCAGCTCGACCCCAGTACATCCTCCGGTGCGGCTGCTGAACAGACAAATGTGGTCTTTACTACACTTCATGCACTCGAGGTGAACGGACCCATCCTTTCGTCCGATGCCCATACGCGGCTACAGAAGGCAATCAAGAAAGTGGTTGGGTACAATCGACTCCAGGATATCCCATCGGACTATCTTAATAGGATCCAGAAGCTTTGTGAAAAGCCAATCATTGCTGCCCAATCGCCGGATCTGAGAATAGACGATCCCTCGAATGAGTCTGAAACACAGGATTGGTTAAGAAAATTGGATGACATGCAAAATGCTCTTCTTGCTATTGGGAGTCTTCTACAAACAATGTCTGGGACCCAGACGGAACGAGATCTTTGTCCAGAGGATTTGATTGAAGCCATACCGAATGTTTTTAACCAAGTCTTTGATCACTGTATCATCCCGGCTGTCCAGGCACGTCCTGGAGGCAAGGATGCGAAGTATTTTGAGTTCTTCTCTGCTCAGAAACGGGTTCTTGGTTCATTAATCCAGCAAAGCAAAAAAGTACTTGCTCTCTTCGCAGATTTCCTCTCGCGGATTGACGTCTCAGAAGGAACAGTCACCGCCGCAGAGTTTTTCGCAGCTAAGTTAATATTCGTCGAGAACTCTCACACGGAGAAGGACTCTACTGTCGGTGTCCAAAAATACGAGTCGGTTCGACGCGGAGCCATGGATGTACTGGCCAAGATTTTCTCCAAGTATCCCGCCCAGCGCCCATACATCCTGGACGAAATCCTTGTATCACTCGAAAAGCTTCCATCTACCCGGCAGAGTGCCAGGCAGTTTAAACTTGCCGACGGCAAGAATATCCAACTTCTGACTGCATTGGTCATGCAACTGGTGCAGACGACTGCTCTGGACGTTCCCAACTCAAGGGCGTCTCGAATGACGCGCAAGCCACCGGGATCGGCCGAAGATGAGGACGATGATGAAGTGCTTGGCGATAGCCAGGGTGTAGATGATGATCAGTCGAACATGTCCATGGAGCAGCTTGCGACGAAGGTCAACCGTCTACACGATAACGCAGTACGCAGTGCCCAGTAC